GAAATGGCTGAAAAGAAACATTTGGACATGGCAAGGCTGTATTCATTAACAAGACTTTGTTCAGATGGATGAACAAACTGGTGCTTTGGTCATTTTTGTGGCCCCGTGGTGTTTGCTAAGTTGGAGAGTGCATTTGAGCCCTGAAATGCCACTAACTGGCTGTATCTTTTCTATTTCAGGAGGACATCTCCCAGGTGGCTGGTCAGCAGAAGGCACCGGAGTGTCCAACGGACAATGTACGTAATTTCCACCCTCGGTTTTGCTCTGCTGGGATAGTGTACATTATAAATGGGTTCCAGAAGGGAAAGGAAGTGATTGCAGTGAAACTTACTGGGAGGTTATGGTGTGTCTTAGAATTGGAGGTCAGCCCACAGCCATATCATTGATTCTAGGCAAGGTGTGTGGAAATAGTCTCTGTGCATTTTCCTGGGCCAGTACCCTGAGCAGGTGTTTAAAAGTGAGCCATCCCTACAAACACATCTATACGTAAATTCTGAGAGTGCTTAATGTCATTAATAAAAATCTTAAGTGGGAGAATTTGTAATTCTATAAATATATAAATACAGTAACTTTGGTGTTCCTTGCATTTTGAATTCACTTCTCTTAAAAAAAAACTATAAATTTCTGTCTGTCAAATTTTTGTACTTTTGTTGGTATTGAGTTTTTTTCTTTTTAAAATCTTGATTCTTATTTCTGTGTGCTAGGTGATACTTTCATGCTACTAAAATTTACATTATTACTGTATCAGCTGTTGTTATATTTAAGGAGCTAGAGCTTCCATGATATTTCAAACACTGCCAAAGAAAATAAATTTGAAAAGTCTCCAAACTTACATACTAAAAACCCAAATAAAAATGAGTAGGTGTAGGAGTGCCTGGGTGGCTTGGTCCATTGAGCATCCAACTCTTGATTTTGGCTCAGGTCATCATCTCAGGTTCATGGAATCAAGCCCTGCATTGGGCTCCACGCTCAGTGGGGAGGCTGCTTGAGGCTCTCCCTTGCCCCCCACTCGCTCACATGCTCTCTCTCTAAAATAAATTTTTTTTTAAATGAGTAGGTGTAGGGATGCCTGGCTGGGTCAGTAGCTCTAGCAGAGAACCCGCCTGAGGTCAGTGGGCAATACCTGCTGTGAGCCTGGGTCAGCTCATTATGAAGAACTTTCAACCCCTTGAGCTGTTCCAAACCATCTGCACGGTTTTTAATCAGCAGCTGGCTGGTCATTTATTATCAAAAGACATGAAGACATTGATACTATTATCAGTTGAAATCTTAAGCTGTTCTGGCATAGTGATAGGTTTATTTATGTTCTTCTCTCTTTGATCTTTTCAACAAGCTTGTAAAGTTTAGAAATACCACTACCAGTTTACAGATGGGGAAGTTTACCCATAAGTAGGTGAGGTGACTCTCCTTTGGCCACACGACTAGTCAGCACTAGCAAGCTCAACAATTCTTATCTTCTTCGAACGGTGATTTTTGTTTTGCATCATAAATGAACTGTAGATTCTTTCCCCCAGAAAAACACTGATAAACATAATTTTGGTACAACACAGGATTTTTTATAATTCCCAAAATGCCCTTTGTGGGTCTCTTAGAAACCCTGGGTAAAGAATCCATTGTTTAACTTTAAGCAGTAACTCCCAAAACAAAACTTGCCTGGGCTCCACCTAGGTCCTGATTTATTTAGTCCCTGACAATTTCTGTTATGAAGACAGCGTTTGAGAACCACTGGTTTAGTTAGGTTGGATATCCTAGAACGTCCATTCCAACTCTCATGTTTGAATAGAAGCTATTAAACAGCCAATCCAACCTTTCCTATCTTTCATTCTTAGTAGTTTGGGTTTGTGCCAATGGAAGAGTCACAGGACCACACGTCCCATCCATCACCACACCCACCAACAAGAGGTCAGCCTCTTAAAATAGATGTTGTACGTTTCACTTGGTTTCTGTGGACTGTTTCCTTACTTTTTAATTGAGTTCAATCCTATCACTATCTGTTGGAAACATATCATGCACAATGCAGTGGGATGCTACCCAGATCTGGGATATAATGATTAGCACAAACATTACTGATTTAAAAATCACATGATTCTGGGGCACCTGGGTAGCTCAGTCAATTAGGTGTCCAACTCTTGGTTCTGGCTCAGGTCATGATGTCTTGGATAGGGCTCTAGGCTCAGCAAAGAGTCTGCTTGAAGATTCTCTTCCTCTGCCCCTCACCCCCCACTTAGGCATGCGTTCTCTCTCTCAAATAAATAGGGATGCCAGGGTGGCTCAGTCAGTTAAGAGTCCAACTCTTGATTTCAGCTCAGGTCATGATCTCAGGGTTCTGGAATCAAGTCCTGTGTCGGGCCCCTTGCTCAGCGGGGAGTCAGCTTTTCCCTCTGCCTGCTGCTCCCCCTGCTTGTGCCTTTTGTCCCTCTCTCTCTCTGACAAATAAATAAAATCTTTAAAAAAATTTTTTTAAATAAAGTGGTTAAAAAAAAATAAGGGGTGCCTGGGTGGCTCTGTCAGTTAAGCATCAGCCTTGGCTCAAGTCATGATCCCAGGGTCCTGGGATCCAGCCCCACATCAGGCTCCCTGCTCAGCAGGGAGCCTGCCTCTCCCCTTCCCTCTGCATGCTGCTCCCCCTACTTGTGCTCTCTCTATCAAATAAATAAAATTAAATTAAAAAAAATACATCTTTTTTTTTAATCACATGATTTTTTTCACTAAGAACTCTAGCAGCTTTGTTAATGATGTGCTTTTTAAAGGTGATAGAAAACAAAAGTTGGACATAAGTGCTGTATGAATTAAGATCAGGTTCAATCTCTATAAGAAGTTTCTCTTCTGTATCAAGTATGGGTACAATCAGTCTGAGGATGGTGTGGTATCTCCCAGTGTCACACACTCAGGCATCTGATTACCATCCTCAAAAAAATGCATCTAGTTTTGGTCTAAGACGGCTGCTGGGGCAGTTGTCATCTGCATTCCAGTTAGAGAGAAGAGGAGGGCAGGATCCTTATCCTGCAGAAAATGACCGAAAATTGTACAGTTCACATCTGTTTACCTCTACTGACCAAAACTTAGTCTGCAGACATATCTAGCTTCAAGGACCCTGGAAAGTATGGTCTTCAGAGTCATTGGTATCTAGGTGGTTCCATTGTTCAGTTTTCTGGTAGTAAACCCGTATTTGTCATTTTTCCACTTACCTCTTTTTAAATCACTGAAAATATGTCTTTGAATAAGTCTTCTAAAGTAAGTATATGGTCTTTATTAAATGTTGGCGAGAAAAACTACAGAAAAGAAAATCAACGTCCATAGAACCAGTGCCTAGCAGCGGTTTGATAAACATTTTAAATCTGTATTGTTCTGGGGCGCCTGGCTGACTCAGACAGTAGGACACACAACGCTTGATCCCAGGGTTATGAGCTCAAGCCCCCAATGGGGGTAGAGATTGCTTAAAAATAAAATCCTTAAAAAATAAAAATAAAAAAAGAATTTGTAACATTCTTTCGCTACTACTGACTTTTAATCTGACCTCCTCCTCCAAATAGCTGTGATTGAGACATGTTACTGGAAAGTGGTTTTTTTGTCTGGAAGAGAAAGTAATAATGTCTCACTCTCCAGGTTGTTCTTGGGATTTAAAGAGTTCATGGATGTGAGAGCGTTTTTAAAAACGGGAAAGCACAACACAGGTACACAATGGCTGGTGTTGTTGTAGTTTTTTGTTTTTTTTTTTTTAAAGATTTTATTTATTTGTCAGAGAGAGAGGGAGAGAGAGTGAGCACAGGCAGACAGAATGGCAGGCAGAGGCAGAGGGAGAAGCAGGCTCCCTGCCGAGCAAGGAGCCCGATGCGGGACTCGATCCCAGGACGCTGGGATCATGACCTGAGCCGAAGGCAGCTGCTCAACCAACTGAGCCACCCAGGCGTCCCTGTTGTTGTAGTTTTTATATGCTGCACCGTGCCTTGTACTGAGGCACTGCCTTCCACTGCCAGAATCTTGAGGTGTCATTGTTCTGGAGCAGTTACCTTGATCCTATTTCTAGACTGCAGGGACAGCCTGGTGCTTCACTGCCTCCACCAGAATCTTCCAGCTGGGGATGGGTTCCCTGGCTAACTACAGATCCAGAAGGCAGGTCAGGTCTCTACCTATGTTTCTTAACTGCCTGTTAAGCGAGCATGGAATCCTTTTGGTTTTCCTCGGTTTTCTAATACTAATATTCATTGGAGGTATTATCCACAGAAATCCAGAATTATGAGTTAACTTTCCAAAGCTCACATAGCAAAGGTCTCTGTACCTCTATTGAAGTACAAATTCATTTTCAGCTGTGAGTTTCCATGTCTTTAATTTTGCTCTTCTCTATCCATTCATTGACTCATTCATTCATCGAACATTTATTGAGGGTCTACTATGTTACAGGTACTGGGAATCAAGGGTGAATAAGGTATTGTTCTTTAGGGTGAATTAAAATGGCATTGGTGTACCTGGCACTTAGTAGACTTTCAGTGGATGCTTATTTCCTCTTCCTGGCCCTCATGTTGCTCAATTAACCTGCCTAATGCATTTAACTATTGTGGATGTATCCAGAAGAGAAGGACATTGTCGTATGCTCAGAACATCTGCAGCATAGATTGCTTTTCAGTGGGCACATCATGGGTATGTGGACTTCACATCGATTTCATCAGAATCAATGGAAATTGAAAAAATTTTTCTTCTGCTTCCCAGCCCCAGCATCATATACAGACCACAATAATAGAGTATCATCAGCTGTTATCCTTCTTCCCTTCCTCCATTCATCCTTCATGGAAGCATCTTAGATGTCAGGTTCATTAGGGAAGCATGGGGGATGGGACAAAAATCATCCTAACTTCCTCCTGCCACCTCTTCCACTCTAAATTCTCAGAAGACATTATTGGAGTGCCACCCTTGTTTGGGTAACAACACACCAGTTTTAAAGCCTCATCCTTTGGTTTTCGTTCTCTTCTTTGACATTCGTCTAATTTTCCCTTCTTTTGTAGGCTGTCAGCCAGATGAAACAGCAGCAAAAATATTCAACAAAAGTCTCCTTCAGTTCACAAGAGATCCCTTTAGCACCATCGTACCACTCAATGGATGCGGATTTCACAAACTATGGTATGATTCTTTCCATGAGCCGAACTGAATTGACTCCTCCAACATGAGAAAAGGAGGGAATTGTGATATCCTGAAAAGCGCCCTGAACCAGGAGTCAGGAAGCCTGGCTCGGTACCCCTCCTCTGCTTCCTTAGCTCCAAGTCTTGTCCAGGCCACCATTTTCCTCAACCTGCTACTGTGGTTGCCTGTTGTTTATTGAGTATGAAGGTGCTAGAACAAAAAAGGCTCTCGGTAAATACTGTTTACATATGAGGCTTACAAATTATTCTGTAATCTCTCCAAAAGATTGTGTTTGGTATATGAGTATTATCTCCTAAAAATCATATTCAGTCAAATTGTTAGCCTTGCATATGTTGATGTAAGTTATTTGAAGACTCTTAATTTTCAGTGCTTAAAGACATGAGTATTCGCTTTCTCTCTTTGAATTCCTGGCATGAATTATGCTGACTGGCGGTTGAAATAGAATTTCAGAATGAATAATGAGTATTTCCACTTTGCTTTTACGTGATATAAGTCTGTAAAATAACAAATAAAATAAAAATCAAACACGTGCTCACCAGTGGCAAAGCACACCCCTGCATGAATTTAACAGGCCCGACACCTTTATGTATTTGTCTTGTGCATATTTTTTCATAAATATTAACTCAAAAACTTTAGCAAGCAGGTATTGCTTGCTAAAATCTAAAATACTAGATTTTTGCTAAAATACTTAATGAATGTGGTCAGCAGACTATGACCCATGGGTCAGATTTGGCCCACCATCTGTTTTTGTATGGTCTGCAAGCTAAAAATGGTTTTCATATTTTTAAGGGGTTGGAAAAAGTCAAAAGAACATTTCATGAAAATTCTCTGAAATCCAGACTTCCATGTCCACAAATAAAATTTTATTGGAAAACTCATTTGTTTACCTGTTGTCTAAGGTTCCCGTCACACAATAAGGATAGAATTGAGTATTTCAGCAGGGATTGTGTGGCCTGTAAAGCTCAAAATACTTACCACCTGGCCTTTTACTAAGACAGCAACCACCATGTAGACCCATTGAGTTTTAATAAGATGCATCACATATTTCTATCTTGGTAACAGAAATTAATCTCCCATTATTTAATCTGTGGAAATTCTGCTCATTCGATCCTCTACTTACCAAACATTGGGGGCTGGATCTGTCAGGCTTCGGGCTGGGCTGTTTGGGAAAAATACATACCAGTCCTAACTCAGGACTGGCTAGGGTGAGACAGAAGTGGAGGAAGAGAAGCGCCATCCCCAGCATCTCTAACTCTCTGTCCTCTCTTCTCACTCAAGAGGCTATACTAGGGGCGCCTGGGTGGCTCAGCGGGTTAAAGCCTCTGCCTTCGGCTCGGGCCCTGGTCTCAGGGTCCTGGGATCGAGCCCCGCATTGGGCTCTCTGCTCAGCAGGGAGACTGCTTCCCCCTCTCTCTCTGCCTGCCTCTCTGCCTACTTGTGATCTCTCTCTGTCAAATAAATAAAATCTTTAAAAACAAAAGAAGCTACACTAGTCATTTACAGAAGGATAAACTTTGTAAAGCATTCATGAAATTATGCACTATTGCACGTTGTTTTTAGTGTAAGTGAATGGAAAATGGAGTGTGAAATGCATATGCTGCCAAAAGATCTAGAGTCAAATTAGGTTTCTAATTTAATATTCTCCTTCTCATAGGGCATTTTTTATTGTTACCGAGGTTGTATCACTAAATTTCTCGCTCTTAACTGGGAGGCCATTAGATTAGTAAATTACATATGGTCAGAGTAACTGTATGCCTGCCACGTTACACCCGCTGCTGGACTGGGCACCTCACACACATTGTTCATTTACTTCCTATTAGAACGCGGCTCGTTACATGCATTTTTTTGGCTGCAGAATGAGCCTCCATTTCACCCACCTATTAATTCCCTTCTTGGGAGCTTAAATGCTTGTCCCCACCACTCCAGAACCTGCTTTATTATTACTATGGAGTCAGAGCAGAACCCTCCACAGGCTTACCTAGAGCCTGTTTCCTTTTGTTTAATATCAGGGATTGGCAAACTTTTTCTGTAAAGAGCCAGATAGTAAATATTTAAGTCTTGCGGACCATATGGTCTCTGTTGCAGCAACTCAGCTCCGCTGTCGCAGGGCGCTAACAGCCGTAGACTGGAAGTAAATGGATTAGCAGGGCTGTGTTCCAATACAACTTCATTTATGGACATTGAAATTTGAATTTCATGTAATTTTCACATGTCTTGAAATGTTATTTTTTTTTTTTCCAAACTTTTGAAAATGTGAAAATCATTTTTAGCTTGCAGGCCAGGATTTGGGGGCCCGCACTTGTGCAGCTGTTTAATGAGCTTTGTGAATCCCAGGCTGGGCCCTGTGCATTAGCTGCCGCTGACCAGCAGGTGGGGCCCTTTATTATCAGCCCTTAACTAAGCTGTTCCCCAGCGTAAGAATGGGTACTCACGATAATCAAACATAGTTGTCAAAGAAGATAATCATCTCTGGAGGCTGTTATTGTACAAGAAGCTCTTGAAGCTAACATTTTGAATATTTTGATTTTTCAGTTGGTTAGGTTCAGTCACTTGGAAAATGCACACATGTAGAAGTTATGCTAGATAAAAGGGTTGTATTAAACATCTTTTCCTAGCCAGTAAATATATTTTTTTCCACTCATTTTTTAGAGAAACCCAATCTAAAATGATGATTTAGGGGCACCTGCATAGCGTAGTCCATTGAGTGACAGACCCTTGTTTTCAGCTTACGTCTTGATCTCAGGGTTGTGAGTTCAAGCCCCATGCTGGGCTCCACACTGGCAGTGGAACCTACTTAAGAAAATTAAATAAATAAAATAAACCAACGATTTTATTTTATTTTATTTTTTATTTTTTTTTTAAGATTTTATTTATTTATTTGACAGACAGAGATCACAAGTAGGCAGAGAGGCAGGCAGAGAGAGAGGAGGAAGCAGGCTCCCCGCGGAGCAGAGAGCCCGATGTTAGGCTCGATCCCAGGACCCTGAGATCATGACCCAAGCCGAAGGCAGAGGCTTCAACCCACTGAGCCACCCAGGTGCCCCAAAACAACGATTTTAAAAAGTAAACCTTGGGGCACCTGGCTGGCTCAGTCAATAGAGCTAAAAAGTAAAAAGTAAATCTTTATAAAATAGCAGTAACAAGTTTTTCAGCTATGGACCCAGCAGTTCTTGAATGTTGTATTTATGACACTTTTTTTTTTTTAACCATGTATATATTTTGGGATCGTTGTTAGATAATTCTTATTTTCAGCCACATCATACTTTATTGATGAAATCCTTTATATATCTTAATTCATGATATGCTCTAATTGAAAGTGTTTAAGCACTAATTCTTAGTATCTTCTAACTATAACTCAGAATCTTCTGTCATAGCAGTCTTTATTTTCATTATAACATACACCTGTATGTGCTTAATCATCTAATCATCTTACATTTTTTTAAAAGATTTTTTTTAAAGATTTTATTTATTTATTTGACAGAGAGAGATCACAAGTAGATGGAGAGGCAGGCAGAGAGAGAGAGAGAGAGGAGGAAGCAGGCTTCTTGCTGAGCAGAGAGCCCGATGTGGGACTCGATCCCAGGACCCTGAGATCATGACCTGAGCCGAAGGCAGCGGCTTAACCCACTGAGCCACCCAGGCACCCCATTTTTTTAAAAGATTTTATTTATTTATTTGAGAGAGAGAGAGTAAGAGAGGGCATGAGAGGGGAGAAGGTCAGAGGGAGAAGCAGACTCCCCATGGAGCTGGGAGCCCGATGTGGGACTCAGTCCTGGGACTCTGGGATCATGACCTGAGCCGAAGGCAGTTGCTTAACCAACTGAGCCACCCAGGCAGCTCCTAATCATCTTACATCTTACTGTACGAGTTTTCAGGGTGTATTTTAAGACTAAAAAAATTTCAAGTATACTTAAAATAGTTGATTGAGTAAGGAGGGTAGTTACTGTTTTCATCCCAAAAATGTCAGGTTTCATCCCTTCCTGAATGAACGTGAAGGACCCAGGTCTTTCCTCCATGGTGCTTAGCAGGAAAAGAGTGAAATGACAGACACGTGCAAACCATGTACTCCCCAACTAATGCAGTATGCGCGCTGCGCTGCCTCTCCACTTGCCTGTCATTCTGTTTCGTCCTTCTCCAGGTGGTTTCCAGGCCCCTCTGTCAGTGGACCCTGCCACGTGTCCCATTGTTCCTGGCCAGGAGATGATTATAGAAATATCCAAGGGACGTTCAGGTCTTGGTCTCAGCATTGTGGGAGGAAAAGACACACCTTTGGTAAGTTCCTAGAAGTGAAGTGTATCCGCTGTCACAGTTTTTTGTTGAGCCTTATTCTGGCCTTTATCACTCTGTGGAAGACTTGGCTTCTTCGTGGTGTGGAAGAAAACGTAATTACAGACACGCATGTATATTCTGGCCAGCTTTGAAGTTTTTCTCAGTGTTCCAGGATTTTCTCTACATTGAGTATTTTTTTAATAAATGCTTATTAGATCAACAACATTGTAGCCACATTTAGAAATATTATAATAGGATTTAGGGCCACCTGGGTGGCCCAGTCAGTGGTGAAGTGTCCAACTCTTGATTTGGGTTCAGGTCATGATCTCAGGGTTGTGAGAGCAAACCCCAAGTCAGGCTCCGCGCTCAACATGGAGTCTGCTTAAGATTCTCTCCTTCTTCCCCTCCCCCAGCTCACACACATACTCACCCTTTCTCTCTAAAATCTGCTAAATTATAAACTAAACAATAAAAAAAAAAAAAAAAAACAGAATTTAGGCCAGTGTCTGCCACATGCTAAGTATAAAGTAAGTATGAACTGTCATTATTATGGTCTTCATTATTATTTCATGGAATGCTAGATAAAAATATATATCAATTATTTTAGCATAACAGTTTAGGTTTTGCTTTATTCTAACCATGTTCATGTCTACTCACAATTTTTTTAAAAATTAGCCTCGAATATTTTTGCTTGGATGACAGATCTTTGAGTATTCAGTGTGTGTGTGTGTGTGTGTGTGTGTGTGTGTGTGGGTGGGTGGGTGGGTGGGAGAGAGAGAGAGAGAGGAAGGGGCAGAGGGAAAGAATCTTATGCAGCCTTCACGTCCACTCAGAGCTTGATCTCACAACCCCGAGATCATGACCTGTGCCAAAATCTAGAGTCAGACGCTTAACCCACTGAGCCACTCAGGTGCCCTATTTAGTATATTTTGATGTTACTGCTCATTACCATTTTTTTTAAACTTCCTGTGTTTTGATTTATAAAAATGTGATGAATCAATGTGTATATATTTGAATAGGTCATGCGTACATATTATGCTCAGATAAATTGATACAAAGGATGTAAGGTAGAAAGCAAATCCTCCTCCAACCCTTTCGCCCTAGCCCTGCCCTCCAAACCCATCCTGCTCTCCCTAGAGACGAGGCTTCCTCTTAATAAATACGTTTTTAAATGAATATTTTGGTATTTCTTTTGCCCCTTTTTATTTAGTAAGGAATAGATTAATATGCCAGACTTACAGATAAAACGTGTAATATGATGAGTAAAAATAATTTTCGTTTTTGTCCAGAGTATGATAATTCCACATTAGTATTGTCAGGAAGTAAGGAGATCTCGTTATATTTTTCTGTAGTACCTATGAGGCCCCCAAAGTGCTAGGCATCTCAAGAACCACACAGTGCAGTGGAAACCTGGGTCTCGGTGCCTTCTGCCGGCCCCCTGGTCTCAGCCCTTCCTCCCACACTCCTGTCCCGCCCAATCTAGCAAAGACGGCACCACACACCCCGCTAATGCACGACCTAAACAGGACTGTGCTTAGATGCTGGGGTTTATTTATTAAAGGATCTTATCTCCATCCGCTTGATTAAAGTATTTCTAGAACTACCCTGAGGTCAGGATAATTTATTTCGTGAATTTTTCTCCCTTTGCCTGTGCAGGCAGGGCCTGCTGTGTATGGCTTCGTGCATACATGAGGATATTTGTTCGTGAGCTTGGATGAAACTGTGAACACCTGGAGCTAACTAGCTCAGTAGCCATTTGTAGCTCCCACCCTCTTGTGGGGTGAGATTTAAATACGATTTAAAAATACTGCCTAGACCAGACCACTTGAAGGGAAACTTCTGAAGCAAAGTTTGCCCCTTGCCTTAGCGACAGAAGCTGAACAGATCTTTCTAAGCCAGATAATGAGAAATGCAGAAAAGTTCGGGGGTCGTAAAGAAGTGAACATATATACGTACCAAATATTTTTAAAGCATATTATATATAAATTGTCATCCCAAGGTCTTTGGGGTAGTATGCAGAAACTATTGGCTGACCCTGGATATTGGCTTTTTCTCCCTTCTAGAGCCTGTTTTCTGATTTTTCCAAAGAGATATTCCTGAATATTGAAAAAACTGAATTTATATAAATCTGTATTTGAAATGAACCAGGGAAATTACATTTTAAGGAAACTCTGTAGTGAATTCTTTCATGAGGATGTAACCCTCTGATTTATCTTTTGCAAATCTAAGTCTGTACCACTTAAAATAAGGCAGAACCAGATTCCCCGTAGGAAATAGGGAATTTTTTTTCCAATACGAGATCCCATAGCATGTTTTGCCCAGCTGAATGAGTTTATTAGCTGATTTTTTTTTTTTGGCTATGTTATTAATCTGATTTGGCTTTACATGTGTGGGTTAGAAAACCTGGGTGACTGCGCCCATGCTGCTCTGGGGTCTTCCCTGTTGCCCACACTGGTGCTCCCGGCTGCCAGCCTGGGGCCTTCCACCGCTTACATCACCTACTGCTTCCTGTTGAGGCAGTTTGCTAGCTACCATGCTCTCTTCTGCTTCTCTGGCCACCACGAGGCAGCCCCATCCACTCCCTACCCCCTCCCCAAAAATTCTTCAACAGCATTCTGAAGTTCGTAATCTATAGTTCTGCCTTATGAGACTGTAAATCCCATTGTCCTTGGAAGGATAAGTACCACTTAAAAATGAGAAATGGGACACAGCTTTTATTTCTTAACCTCAGGTACCTCGTCAAAAGCTGTAAGTTCAACTCACGAGTTATATATAGCCATGTCGTTTTTGGTGAAGCTGAACAGCAGGGGCGGGCGGAAGGTGCTTCAACAAGTAAAAGCGTTGTTTACCACAGTGGAGATCTGTTTGTCCTTCCAAATTTTGACATGGACTATGCAGCCCCGTTGACACTCCAGGTCCCATTATCCAGTTGAGGCACAGGATTGCGGCCAGCCAGCTGGAAGTTAGCAAATGAAGATGAGAGCATCTGAAGGGAAATTGTGGACAGCGTTGACCCACTGACCAAAGTACCTTTGCACATGTCTTTGCACATTTGATTTTGTGACACACCCTCACTTCAGCTCCGATGGGGGCGGGGTGGGGAAGAGCACATTCTGAGTGCTGGTGAGCTTTCTTAAGCATCTGCTCCAAGCCGCTCAATTAGGGTTTCTGGGCCCTCTTTGTTGTGTATCCAACAGATACATTTGCCATCTTTGGAGGAATTGACCCTCTGGGACTTGGTCTTGACACCACATCAGTCCTATCTGCTATAAATAATTGCTCTGGAGCCAAGGCAGATGGTTTCTGAGATCAGAGAGGGAGATCTCACTTAGCATCCCATTGTGTTTGCAGCCAGTCTTCTGAATGGGCCTTTTAAAATACCAAGATAATGGTGAGGTTGAGCCTCTTGGGAAGGTTTACGAGTGCACCTGGACCCAATCCTCAATGACAGACTTCTGCCTCTGTTGTTTTAATCTTCTCCTTTCGGTGAACGTGGCTCTTCTATGATAGCTTACATATGTTGGCTTAAAGGCTGCCCTTAGTGCCGAGGACATAAAATTGAGTGAAATAACCCTGTCCTTACACGCTCAGTCAAGTTCATTCTACAACCTTCAGTGTTTATGGTGTAATATAAGGGACCAACCCTTGAAAAGTCCTAATAAGGACTACTAAAATAGGGATTTTTTTCTCTGGAAAGTAGAAAAAAGTACAACTACGGGCATCTGGGTGGCTGAGTCAGTTAAGCGTCCAGCTCTTGATCTCAGCTCAGGGAGTGATCTCAGGGTCTCAAGTTCAAGCCCCGCCTTCAGGAAGAAAGGAGGGAAGGAAGAAAGGAAGGGAGGGAGGGGAACTACGGGACACGCGTTCTAGATTTAATTAATATGGATTAGTTTTTATATGTTTCTTATAAGCCAGTATCTTAGTCCATCCAGGCTGCTGTAACAAAATACCACAGACTGGGTGGCATATAAACAACCGAAATTTATTTCTCACAGTTCTGGAGGCTGGAAGTCCAAGGTCATGCTGTCTTGGTCAGATGAGGACCCTCTTCTGTGCTGTAGAGACTTCTCATATCTTCACATAGTAAAAGGAGCCTCTGTGAGGCCTTTTTTATAAGGGCATTAATTTCTTTCATGAGGACTCAGCTCTCATGACGTACTTGCCTCCCAAAAAGCCCTACGTCCTGATACCACCACCTTGGGCATTAGAGTTTCTGCATTTGAGTTTAGAGGGGCACACAGCAAGGAAACCACATAAGGTATAAAATTGGTAGTATATTTATTCATATTATTTCCTTCCATCCATCCATCCACCCACCCGTCATCCTACCTCTCCCCACCATCACCACCACTCTTTTTGGTCTTGGAATGCTAGTTTGCATGAAATCTTGCAACTCAGAAGACTTGACATATTCTGCCAAATGAAAGACTGAGGACTCTTACCTTTTATGCTCACCACGGATTTCCTAAGCCTCTCCCTGAATCCTTAAATTCCCCCCTTATCTGAAATGTTTGCTGATGAGAAGTTTCATCTATAGTGTCCTCAGAAGTAAAATGTAGTTCTCCAGTGTCATTTTGTTGGGGTTATTTTATGATCAGCCTTGGGAATTCTAGAAAAGAGAAAGAAGAACTTAAATCTTTTATCTCAGAATATTGGCAGACTTGACTGTTCTTGGGATTGAACAAGTGAAGTTCAGAAAGAATGACGAAAGTTTCTCCAGGACCCTCACTCTGTGCATTTTCCTTTCTCTGGTTATCATTGCCAGAGGTCCCAGACTGTAGACCATTAGATCTATCAGATCTAATAGGCTGAGTAATGACGCTGATTCTATGGCATCGAAATCCCAGATCTCTATCTGTAGGGCCTTGGACAAGCATCTCAACCCTTCTAGGTTAAATCTGCTTCTTCGTTTGTGCAGTGATGGTGACAACAAAATCCACCTCTTAAGGTTGGTATGTGGATTAATAAGGTAAAGAATATAAAAGAATTTTTCGAATACCTAT